GGTGACAAAAAAATGTATAAGACAAAACCTAAAATTAGAGATAATAACACAATAGCTACTCATAAATTCAAAGATAACATATTTGTGTAACGTAGATGTTTCTACGTATTTTCCGAATAACTAAATAAATTGCTTTTTTTATGTTTGCAATAGTAATAATATTTGAAACATCAATTTATTAATTTTATTTTTTTCGTTAATAACGTATTTTCTAGCATTCATTTCGTTTTATTGATAAATGTTAAAAACATTCAATTCAGTTACAATGTACACGTTACATGTACATGTATCTGTTTGTCTTTATCTGAATAGCCTTTCTTGTGATCACATATATCGGTCACCTTGTATACGCTTATATTTTTTTACTAAAAGTTATCTGAAATATGAAATCACAACTTTATCCTATTAAACAATCGAATTTTTCGTACTACACATTAGTGATAGGATTATGTAAAAAGTAATAATAGTAAACGCAATTCAAAATACACAATGAATTACCGAGAACTTATCCATTCTGGGAATTATTGTTATAAAGTAACGTAAATTTATAAATATTATTATTTTAAAATTGTAAATGTAAGGTTTAGTTCAAAAGCTCTCCGTAGCATACCCATCGATTGCGCTAGTAGTCTTCTCATGCCAATTAGTACATTGTGTTCCTCAGTAAATCGTGGTTCGTTAAATGAGTAATTACCTCGTAATTAGTATGTTTTTGTGAAAAATAGACGATTGTTTGCCGACATGATTTCCAAAATACTATCAGTGTGTACGGATTAATCAAAACTGCAGCAAGCTTTTATGTTTCCATAATTTTATTCGGTGAGTTTTTTTACAGAGCTTCTTTTAATATAACAAACAAACACAGTCTGCCAATTTGAAACAGTATTCATCCCCTTTTATAGGTAATTATCAATAAATAGTTCTGCAGTATACATTAGTCATAATCAGAGATCAAACATTCTTTAATAAGATGCCAATTTTTCCAAATTATTATAAACTATTATACAAAAAATTAAAGTACAATCCTCAAGAGATATTTCCTTCCTTTCTTTTATAAATTTTCTTTAAATTTAATATGCGATTTTTTACACCTTTCCGCTGTAAAATTTCTTTGTCTAATTGTTTGTTGATATATGTAAACTAGATGCATTTATAAATTCAAAATTCAATGGAATTGTGCAGTAACAAATAGCTATAACATAAATTATTATTAGCTTATAACCTTTCACTGTCTAGATATTGTATCATTCCATATGATAATAGTTTATCTGTAGTGAAATGAACAAAGAAATGGTACTCATTAGAAAATATGTTAGCAAATATAGTATTTTTTATTATCAAATGGGAAAGTGCTACCCATGTATAAAACCATTTCAATAGTTTGTTTAATGTGCAATTGTTATTTGGAACTGTACTAAAGCACCGTTGTCACCATATAATTCTACGTACCATTTTTCATAATTAACAGCTTTTAAAGCACGGTTGTTACCATAAAATTCTACGTCCCTTCATTCATAATTGACAGCATTTCGAATTTCCTGAATAATTTCCATATCCTTTAAATTTTACGTGCATTAATCGTATACGTTAATTACTAAAGCTCAATTAAAAGTAAGTGATGTACATAAATGTTTACGTTTGCTAACACGTATGTCTTAAAAAATATATATATATTATGTCCAACATAATATTTACTTTTGCTTAATATTTTTAGATCGTTTTTATTTTTTAAGTTCAAAAGTAATAATTGTTATTCTTCATACTAGTCCAAATACTCCTTTTTTTTCATCATCTCCAAATATTTCACTGGACAAGTGATGAATATAATTTTTTCTTTTCGTTGTACGCTAAAGTATATTTTGTTATTGATTTTTAACTGAAAGTAAAAATGAGTAATGTTTTCGTTAAAAGGTAAATTACAATATTTTTTTTTTAATTACGGAAAATTATATTCTTCGTTTGTAGTGAAAATGGTGAAGCAGTTGTTAAGGTATATTTTATTATATATTCATGTAAAAACAAAAAGTCTTCTAAGGGACCAAAGGAAGCGATCTAAATTTGAAAAAGGGACACAATTTTACCAAAAAATCAATAGGGGAAACTAGGGGTGAAGCTTCAGAAAAAAAAATGACGACTGATAGTAGTAGCAAATGTTCAAATTTAAATTCAAATAATAATTTGTTGAAAGTTAAGGAAGTAAATCGTAATTTGAATAAAAAAACCACAAATAGTCCAATTAACAATACTAATGAAACTGTTTCAACTTTTCCTGATGAGATTGTACAAAGCAAAACGGACAAGGTAAGTGATAGAAAAGTGAATGTAGAAATTGAGTGTAATAAACATATAATTAATGAACATCTAAGTAGCCAGTTACCAGAAAGAACAGAGTTAATTAGTAACTATTGTAGTACTGATTTAAATAATGACGAGGAGGGAGATGACGAAATTATTTGTGTAGAAGATTTTACAGATGATATTCAGGATGATTGTGATGAAATTGAAACAAAAGAAATTAAAGTTAAAAATAAGAAACCATCTTCAAGTTTTCTTAATAAGGCGGTGTCATATTTTAACGACAATTCTACAAAATCCGAAACAAATTTTAAGTCAAAAAATAATTCTCAAAAACGGGATTCTCCAAAAATTAGTCATAGTAACTCTATTAAATTATGTAAAGATGATGAGGATATTGAGATTGCTTGTGATGATGTCGAAGACCAAATAAATGCTAACAGTAAAAGGGGCGGTAACGAAAACACATCTGCAAAGGCATCAACATTTAATTTTTTTAGCAAAACCATTTCTTACTTTTCGGAAAGGTCTTCAAAGGTAAGTGGTAGTAGTGATTTGAAGCGTAAGAATAAAAACGAAAAAAATAAGTCTCCCAAAACAAAAAATTCTCGAGATAGTAATGAACAAGACGATAATGAATTTGATCAAAAAGGTAAAAGTACGAATAAATCGCCCTGTTCAAAATTTTTTAATAAAAATGTTTTTTCCTTTTCTGGTGGTAATTCTACAAAAACTAAAAGGGTAGAATCAACAGAAAATGACGCCACTCCTGATAAGAAAAGTACTTTTAAAGAGCTATATGATTTACCCCCAAACGAAGAAAGAATTTTTGAGAGTAATTCAAACAAAAAATTTGGAAAACGAAAACTAGCTTCAACAAGAAATTTTCCCAATCGAAAATTTACTGCTAGTCAAAATATTAATTGGGAACAACCAAATAACGAAGAGTGTACGAATAAAAGGGTGAAAAGTGTTAAAAACGACATACGTTCGGAAATTAATAAAACGTTAAATTTATTTAAAAATAATAACCAGGCGGATTATTTGTAATTTTTTTTTTCTGCGTATCCACAATTAGCAATTGTACTAAATTACTATTTACTTATTTTCCTATTAGCTATCCATGTTCAGACATGTTCATTTTTCATTCTGTAGTTTTCCAAATCCATATTGTATCTTATTATATTTGGTGTTTAATAAAAGTAATCTGTTTGGGGCTTCTCTTTACTATGTAAAAAAGTCTGATTGAAGATCTGATAATAATATTTCTTATCATAAAAAATGGGATTACTCATTTGTTTCCTGTTTCGTCTTTTAGCTAGTAATAGAACTGTTGTTAGAAAATCATTGCTCGAGGTCTTTATTTTATTAAATACTTCTTTTATAATTTTACTTACCGATGCTTGCTTTCTGGTATAAAAAACTTAACAATAATGGCACCTTTTTCCTAACCGTATGCTTCATTTTTTTGCATGCTAGAATCACCTAAACCCACCCCAAGAAGTAGAAATTTATCAGACGAAGTAGTCGTAANGGAAATTTCAAAGGTTTTCCATCACAATTTCAATGCTTCTTATTGTTTGAAAACTCTGCTACTCTAGTTGATAATAGTCTATTTTAATAATTTAAAAATTATAATAAACTAGAGCATTTCCGAGCGTAAATCTGTCCACTATTCTCCGAATACTTTCTCTCTCTATCCTCGAATCCTTGAACGGTCCGACGATCGAGAACAAAATATTTCTCTGCTTTTAAAATAAATGTTTGTCTATCAAAATTAGTACATATATGATTTTTGAAATTTACACTTTCTTTGTATGGTAATATCACACAAAGAAAATATAAACCCTTTTTGTTGATCATGTAATTATAATGTAAAATTTCAAAGGTTTTCCATAACAATTTCAATGGTTCTTATTGTTTGAAAACTCTGCTATTCTAGTTGATAATAGTCTATTTTAATAATTTAAAAATTATAATAAACTAGAGCATTTCCGAGCGTAAATCTGTCCACTATTCTCCGAATACTTTCTCTCTCTATCCTCGAATCCTTGAACGGTCCGACGATCGAGAACAAAATATTTCTCTGCTTTTAAAATAAATGTTTGTCTATCAAAATTAGTACATATATGATTTTTGAAATTTACACTTTCTTTGTATGGTAATATCACACAAAGAAAATATAAACCCTTTTTGTTGATCATGTAATTATAATGTAAAATTTCAAAGGTTTTCCATAACAATTTCAATGGTTCTTATTGTTTGAAAACTCTGCTATTCTAGTTGATAATAGTCTATTTTAATAATTTAAAAATTATAATAAACTAGAGCATTTCCGAGCGTAAATCTGTCCTCTATTCTCCGAATACTTTCTCTCTCTATCCTCGAATCCTTGAACGGTCTGACGATCGACAACAAAATATTCCTTTCGGTTTAATATAAATAGGAAGTAATGTTTGTGTATCAAAATTAGCACATAAATGATTTTTTAAATATTATAAACTTACACTTTCCTTGTTTGGTAATATCACACAAAGAAAATGTAAAATGATTAACAGCTGTTAGGACTTCTTTACTCATTTTCATCTCCTCTAAAGTTTACGTGCGCTTTTTCTTACATTGTTTGAATATTATTTTCTGTAATTTAATAAGTAACACTACATTTCTATTTCTGAGTAGTTTTTTTCAGTGGTTGTTGTCATGTCATATTATCGATTAATTGCTAAAAGTGAACATTCTGATGTAAAATTTTTATCATGTAAAGTAGTCTTCTCCTATGCACTGTACCGTAATTTTGATGCAACTCAAAGCATTACCATTACCTATAATCGAATACTCCATAGAAGAGAAGAAATGAGAAGTTAGTTTTTGTTATAAATTAATGCGAATTTTATATTTGTTAGATGTAGTTGACTCATATTGCGTTGTTATTTTAAATTTGTTGGTAACTGCACGTTTTAGTTCAAAAGCTCTCCGTAACACGGTCGTCGATTGCGCTAGCAGTCATTTAGTTGTTCTTCTGCAGACCGTGTTTTCCCATACGTAACAAACTGGAAAATTCCACAGTCGTTTAATATTTTCGGACGTTAATGTGTTTCTGTGAAATTGTTTTAGAANCGCTTCTAATCTTTTCTTTTCCGCCGTGCCTACTATCCATGTTTCGCACCCGTACAATGCAGTGTTCCAAACATACACATTCAACAACCTTTTCGAATTTCTAAATTAACCATTCGCGAGCATAGAAGTGACTTCTTTTTATTAAAGGCGACACGACCCTGCGCTATCCTCTGCTTTATATCCCTAGTACTCCTTCCGTCCTGACTTTTTTGACTTCGTAGATGCCTATAATCAGCCACTTCTTCTAATTTTTCTTTTCCTATCTTTATATTCGCTCTTTCCCTACTTTTTCTTCCCTTACCTACCAGTATTTTCGTTTTACTTTTATTTATTTTCATACAGTACTGATCTGTCAGTACCGCTTTCATTTTATTTAAAGCTATCTCTAGGTCCTCCTTGCTATATCCTTGTTATATCATCTGCAAATATAAGCATACTAATCTTTTGCCCTTGCACATCTATCCCTACAGTTGTACTGTCTTTAAGACGGGTAGTTTATTGATTTTGTATTTGTTTATTACAGGAGGCCTGGAGGAGGCAGCGGTAAGAACTGCATCACCTACAGTTCGGAAAACACGACGATGATGCATATCACTGAGGACACTCCACCAGATATGCTAGCTGGAGCGATGGATCTGATAGTGCACTTGCCCACTAACAGATCTGTCAAGATGTCAGTGGAAAGAAGGTCAGTAATGACTTAAAACAAATAATCAATTTCAGTTCTAATTTTACATTTTCCTAAATTTTATTTACTGGGAAACCGAATCCTAAAGAAAGGGTTCTATATGGAATAACTTGCTCTTTCGGCTAGTCAAAACAGATTTTAAATTAGATTTACGATAAACCGCTTATATGTTATAAAGTGAATTTGTTATTGGGAAATCAGAAAATTGAAAATATCTACTCAAAAGCATTGTTGGAATATTCGAAGTTTTGAAATGAGTTAAACTTTTTAATAAATTAATAAAGTACTACTATTTAAGTTATACTTGTTAAAAAAAAAAAAATAAGAGGGTGTCAAATATTTGTGGAAAACTTTAAGGTCTTAGTTAATAATCAATTTGGAACCAACCAGCGCCTAGTTTTTAGACTATAGGTACCATTCCTACAAATTCCACCTAGTGTTTCAAATTTTCCAAAGCTTTCTTACTTTTGATTGTGGAATACTTAATTCAGGGTTGAACAGTTCCTTCTTTGTTTCCAGTACTCCAATGATGGACCTGCTCGTCCACATAACATCTGCCCATCAGCTCCAGCTTTCTAACCACATCATTCAAGCGCTTGAGATGGCTCCGTCATCTGAAAGGAGTGACAAAGTTCTTCCGTACAAACCCAATACACCAATAGGTGCTCTGGACACCCAGCACATAAAAGTGATCGCAAAAAACAAACCTGTATCTATTCCAAAAAATTTACCACCCGGTTATCAACCGTTCGAAAGCACGTTTCGGTTGCAAGTTCATCTGCCCAGAAACCAGTTGTACGTTATTAGGGTGAGTCAGCACGTCTTCTTGGAGAACATACTGAAGACCGTGTGTGATGAGAAGAATTTGGATATGAGAAAATATGAGCTACGACATCCAGGTAATTGTTTATTATTTCCTAAACACCCAGAGATTTATAGAAGAAAATAAAATTGGTGTTGCTTGAGGTTTTAAACCCTTCTTTAATTCCCGAATTTCGGCTCGCTAATTCGTACCTACTGGTTATGGTTCATGTTCGTGATGGTTGAAGAAACAATAAGTTGTTAGATATTGTTTAATCAGTAATTTTTTATTACTTTGTGTACATTGCAAAATTCTGATAAGTTAATTCACTTTACAATCACGTTCAAAAGAAAAAATTGTAAACGTGTTTAAAAATGTAAATTATTTCGAAAAAAGTCACATATTTTTACAGTTAATTTAAAAGTAAAGAGTAATGACTTGACTTCACTGCAGTTCAAAGCATTGATTTCAAATTTGGGAAATTTCTTTTTTAAACAGAAAAAAACTTCTCGTACTGACCATATAAAGTGATTATAAGTTTGACTCAAAATAAGCGAACTACACCATCGTAAAGTGAAGTCTGTTGTTATGAAAAAGAAGAAAATACTCCTAGATCCATATACATTTTTTGAAAGATTTGAGGAGATTTTCTGCATAAAAACGTCTTCCCTCTTTAGTATTTTAAATCAGAATGGAAATAAGTGAGCTACAGTATTTCTGATCGGAATCTGTAGTCAAGAAAGTGAAGAATATTAAAAAAAATTTGGGAGCCTTTTTGGAACATCAGAAAATTAATTAATTGTTCAACACACTGTGTTTTCAAAATGTTCTTCTTTTAAGTGTTTCAAACTGATTTTAATTTCCATTTTAAATAGGAAAGCTAAAGCGTTGTGAAAGCGGTGTGTATAGGAAAGCTCGGAAAATTAAAAACTTCCGCGAGCTTTTTTCGAGTGTTTAAGAACTACAGTTGTAAAAAAAATAATGATTAAAGCATTCTATGCAAAGAGGTTTGCTCTTTTTAAAAGTTGAAACCAATTTTAAATCGGAATCAGAATAAGCAAGATACGTACGATTGCGATGTGATTGAAAATTGAAAAATACTCACAATTTAATATTTTTTCTGAAATTATGCAACGTTTTATCTGTTATCAGTAGTACTTAACTTATCCCAAANCTAGTCCTGTAATTGCTAGTCCTACTTTCGTAGATAAATCAGGTAAGCTAGAACCAACATACAATAATAAAGAACACCAATCGCCTTTTACTAATAAAAATACAGAAACTAGTAGTTGTTGTAAAATAATTTCCGAAAATTTTAAAGATGTATCAAGTACTTTTATTGGAGAATCAAAACCGTTAAAAAATATCAAGCAATTTGATAAAGTTGCGGATGGAACAAGTTTAAAATGTTCCAAGGAGACAAAAATTAACTCGAAAAATGTTCCTCATTTGAAGGTGACTAATTTTATTCCAAAATCGTCACACGATGCTCATCATTTATACCGCGAGCGGTTCAACGAATGTTTAAAAGAAATAAGAAATTTCAGTTTCCGAAAAAAGACGACAAATCCGATTATTTTATCACCAAATTCGGCAACACAAAAATCCAAGAAAGATCCCAAAGACGATTTTGAAGAATACTATTCTTCAAATGTAGACGTCGATTACCCCGAAAGCATTTTAAGTGCGGAAGTGATCAGTTTACATTCGGATTCTAAATTTAATAATAATAATATCGACAATGGTAACTTGTATGACCGAAATTTTCTTGATATAAAACCTTATGGTGATATCAATAGCAACAATTGTTTTCCAGATGAGAAAACGCTCGACAAATTATTCTATTCGTCGAGCGAATGTATATATAAACCCCTAAAGAAACAGATACATGTCAGTAATACAGATGTAAATATTTTGAATTCAACTTCTGAAGAAGAAATTACAAAAAATGAAGCAGTAAATTATAATGAATCGCATAATCATTTGAATTTAAGTTTAGAAAATGACAGTGATGAGTCTGTAGTCCTCAATGAGTGTATAAATGAAGAAGTTGATATAAGTATGTCTACAGAGACAATTTCCAATAAAATATCACATATTTCTGATGATGGTTCGATTACAAACGAAGCTAATCAAAAACAGACAAATTACAAAAATGTTTTAGATAAAAATTCTGGCCAAGACTTTAATTCTATTGCTTATCCTTTATCAAAAAAACAAATAGTTGTTGATAATTCAGGCGATTATTTAAATTATAATCTTTCATGTAGTGACGATGATGATTGCGACAGTATTTGTAGCACAAAAGATGCAAGCGATCTAAATTTGAAAAAGGGACACAATTTTACCAAAAAATCAATAGGGGAAACTAGGGGTGAAGCTTCAGAAAAAAAAATGACGACTGATAGTAGTAGCAAATGTTCAAATTTAAATTCAAATAATAATTTGTTGAAAGTTAAGGAAGTAAATCGTAATTTGAATAATAAAACCACAAATAGTCCAATTAACAATACTAATGAAACTGTTTCAACTTTTCCTGATGAGATTGTACAAAGCAAAACGGACAAGGTAAGTGATAGAAAAGTGAATGTAGAAATTGAGTGTAATAAACATATAATTAATGAACATCTAAGTAGCCAGTTACCAGAAAGAACAGAGTTAATTAGTAACTATTGTAGTACTGATTTAAATAATGACGAGGAGGGAGATGACGAAATTATTTGTGTAGAAGATTTTACAGATGATATTCAGGATGATTGTGATGAAATTGAAACAAAAGAAATTAAAGTTAAAAATAAGAAACCATCTTCAAGTTTTCTTAATAAGGCGGTGTCATATTTTAACGACAATTCTACAAAATCCGAAACAAATTTTAAGTCAAAAAATAATTCTCAAAAACGGGATTCTCCAAAAATTAGTCATAGTAACTCTATTAAATTATGTAAAGATGATGAGGATATTGAGATTGCTTGTGATGATGTCGAAGACCAAATAAATGCTAACAGTAAAAGGGGCGGTAACGAAAACACATCTGCAAAGGCATCAACATTTAATTTTTTTAGCAAAACCATTTCTTACTTTTCGGAAAGGTCTTCAAAGGTAAGTGGTAGTAGTGATTTGAAGCGTAAGAATAAAAACGAAAAAAATAAGTCTCCCAAAACAAAAAATTCTCGAGATAGTAATGAACAAGACGATAATGAATTTGATCAAAAAGGTAAAAGTACGAATAAATCGCCCTGTTCAAAATTTTTTAATAAAAATGTTTTTTCCTTTTCTGGTGGTAATTCTACAAAAACTAAAAGGGTAGAATCAACAGAAAATGACGCCACTCCTGATAAGAAAAGTACTTTTAAAGAGCTATATGATTTACCCCCAAACGAAGAAAGAATTTTTGAGAGTAATTCAAACAAAAAATTTGGAAAACGAAAACTAGCTTCAACAAGAAATTTTCCCAATCGAAAATTTACTGCTAGTCAAAATATTAATTGGGAACAACCAAATAACGAAGAGTGTACGAATAAAAGGGTGAAAAGTGTTAAAAACGACATACGTTCGGAAATTAATAAAACGTTAAATTTATTTAAAAATAATAACCAGGCGGATTATTTGTAATTTTTTTTTTCTGCGTATCCACAATTAGCAATTGTACTAAATTACTATTTACTTATTTTCCTATTAGCTATCCATGTTCAGACATGTTCATTTTTCATTCTGTAGTTTTCCAAATCCATATTGTATCTTATTATATTTGGTGTTTAATAAAAGTAATCTGTTTGGGGCTTCTCTTTACTATGTAAAAAAGTCTGATTGAAGATCTGATAATAATATTTCTTATCATAAAAAATGGGATTACTCATTTGTTTCCTGTTTCGTCTTTTAGCTAGTAATAGAACTGTTGTTAGAAAATCATTGCTCGAGGTCTTTATTTTATTAAATACTTCTCTTATAATTTTACTTACCGATGCTTGCTTTCTGGTATAAAAAACTTAACAATAATGGCACCTTTTTCCTAACCGTATGCTTCATTTTTTTGCATGCTAGAATCACCTAAACCCACCCCAAGAAGTAGAAATTTATCAGACGAAGTAGTCGTAAAACCATTGCCTCGATCTAGAAAAGGTACCAACGACTTTGTTCACACAAATTCCGGCGAAGAAAGTAAGGTCGATGTTATTCATGCCAAAAAAGAGACAAATTTGGATCCTATTAGAAGTGAAACAATAACTGTGACCCGTCAAGAAAAACATGAAGATAAAGAAACTGAAGAAACAATCACGTCCACTCGTACAAATAGAAAGGTGTCTTTGGGACGTAAAAGTGGTTTCAAGATAGGAGCTTCGTTGTTTTCTGTCGAAATAGACGTAGAAAACAATAATTCGCCGACCTACGATAAATTGTCTCTTTGTAGCACCTCAGACACAAGTTCACTGAACTCAAAATTGGCAGAAGCCATAAATCAATTGGATTGCGTAAACGATTATGATTCCATAGACGATTTGGACATCGAAATGTTTAAGGAATCTGTGTCCAAGAATTCGAAAAGGTCCAAGCGAATTTTGGACGAATTATGTGGAATACACGACTTGGAATCCAAATCCAATATAAGGGAAAATCTTTCTTTAACCAGCTTGTCGAATGAAATAGTTCCCGGTTACGCTTCGAATATGAAAAAATGGAAAAACTTCGAAGATTTGGATGATATTTCCTCGGTGGCTGAATGTAACAGCTTACAGCACACTAACTGGGTTGTTGGCAATGCTAGTGATACAGGCATGTTTCTTGTATTAATACTAACAAATCATTCAACAATTTCACCAGAAAAAGGAAAATGAAAGTAACAAAATTGAAAATTGTTATTTTCATTTTTTCCTCATCTTTTCACGCATGATTTTTCATTTTCAATTATTACTTTACACTGTTCGTAGGTAGTGTGTTTACTTTTTTCTATTACCTTAGTACCTTTTCCGTATGGGGTAATTAGTAAAAACTGTCTCATTACTTTTGGAATCACTAATCACTCTTGTATACATAACATTTTTGAAAAAAATGAAAATATATACAGTGTGATTAGAAATCTTCTAAAGGCTTTTAGCAATTGAAGATGAAACTAAAAACAAGCATTTTTAAAGTAAATATCATTTAAAAAAAATTCGTAGTTATTCAACCCTTCCAGTTTAAAAGTTGGTTCGTTACCGATCAATACTTAATACTACGATAATATTTCTTATTGGTACGTTTTGTTTATTGCAGAATCAATTGCATCATATAATAAAAGACAGACATCCGTGGGAAGTATTGAATCCGTACAAACTCCTGATGAACCTTCCCCTAAGAAAATCGAAATCAATAATACTGAATATGCACCCAAAGAAAACAAATCTGTTGCCAAAATAACCAAATCTAACTTAGACGAAACGAATAATTCAGAAATTAAAAGTAATAAAACAATAAATACAATACAGTCTATCGAAAAGGAAACAATTGTTGAAAATAAACAGTTGAAACCAGAAAATCATGTAATATTAACGAAAGATACAGCTACACAGTCTGATAGTCAAGTACAAAAAGTCCACGAAGTCGAATTTAAACCCACTGTAGTTGAATCCAAACATCCTCAGTCCACTTTGGAAATCAAAAATGATCAGGTAGAGACCAATCGAAATGAGACAAAGTCACCTACTATGCCGGAACTAGTCGAAAAACTTGAAGAGTTGATTATCCCAAATCCACCATCCGAATTTCTACTTCCGGACACTTTTGACAACGTAAATGTAAATCCTATAGAATCCGAATTAGACATCGATTGGCAGTATCAGTTGCCACCACCACCCTCCGCGTTTAGGGATGATTGCTCTTCTAGTCTGGCCGATGCAACAAATTACGATACCATAACTCTAGACGGTTCTAAAACGATCGATTCGATCGTTAGTCAGTCCGAATTATTTGAAAAAGCTTCGAAAACACACGACATCTCACAAATGAGTGATGCCACAAGTGTGCAAAGCGAAGACGAAAAACAAATTTACAATAAATTGTCATTGGAAAACCTAGAAAAGCGAAAGTCTTTGGTGTACAACAGGGAACTAACCACAAGTCTGAAGATGGCCTGTGATTCCGATTCAGATGCAAATAGAGAAGAAGCACACAAAAATTTTCAGTCTCAATTCGAAAAGAAACAACCCCAAATCGATGCCAATTTGCCAAACTTTAAAATAACCACCTACGATAATCCAAAAAAGAAAATTAATATCTTTGAAGACGACAGCATCCATAGTAACACAGAATTAAGTATAACGAAGAAAAATAATCTGTTAGAAGGAAATGAAAACCAAAAGGACACAACTGACACGTCCAGTGTTTTGGTTAAACCAGAAAATATTCAAGAGCCAGAGGTGAAACATCAATTTAAAAAGTCTAACGATCTTTCTAATGGTATCTTGCGGTCAGAATCGTTCACAACAAATAATATTAGCAATCGTGGTACCAATAACAATAACAGGTACTTTAGAAAACCGAGTAATCCTGTTAAAAGGTCCAAGTCTCAGGTGGCATTGAATAGATATAAGGAGGACCAAAAGGAAGAGGGTGAAAATGGACAGTTGTTGAGAGCCAACAGTTTATATGATGTGTCCGGCTTGCAAAGTCTTGAGGTAAGTGCATACTTTTCTTATTATTCACGTTTTAATGATTATTTATTATAATTTCACTATTAATTGGTGTGGTTATGTGTCGTCGTTTTTAACAATAACAATCGTTGCAAAATTTTATGAGCTTCAACTATCTGCTAATTAATTTTTTTTGAGTTTTATAATTCACTTATTATCTTCACTAAAGAAGAACGTTTCATAAAAGATATTGTAAAAGAGTTATTACAGGATAATGAAAATTATAGTTTCTTTATTTTTTTACGTCAATAATAATAAACAGGTGGAGGTTTTAACAGTGCTATAAAGACAATGAGCAATGAATGCATTCATGCAATAAAACATTACGAAAATATTATTCATAGAGTGAGGTTTCTATAGGGTCCAAAAAAAATTTAAATCTATTTATTGTCAAGGAAAATGTAAAAACTTTTTCTCAATTTTCAGTGGAAAACTATTAAAATATTAAACGTTGTCCACTTCTTTCTAGGTGATGAGAGTAATACAAAACAAACTTAATCTTTCGAATGAACATTGGAACGATCGGACCCAAAACAAACCAGAATCTTCCAACAAGGACAATCAGCGTCCTGTAACAGTACAAACACTCCCAGAGCACACTGAAGCTCAACCAATTCGTCAAAATCATCAAATAGATACTCAAACTCCAAAACCAGAACCTCCCAAAGAACCAAAAAAGGCTTACTCATACCAAGGTCCACCCTCGATATGTTTAAGCACTTGGTCAGAAAGACCTAAAACGCAAATAAGTCTTAAAGAAGACACCGATTACATCGTCAATAACAAAAACAACATAAATTCGTTGAAGAACGCGAGTAATAATAATTCTATTTCACGTTTTTCAAACGTCCAAACACCAGAATCCACGTTCAAAGTTCAAAGACAACAGTATGGAGATCAATATAACAGGGGTGTAAATATCAAGGTTAACGAAACTGAAGTTTCGTCAAGATTAAGATCCTCAGAGGCTGAAGATCAAGGTCTGAACAAACCCAGATACAACAGGAACGTTTCAAACACTTTTATAAACTACAACAGTAGGAAGCCTTTGGGAAATGTCAACGAGAAAGCTCCTAGACCACATTCGATAGCCTTCGACTCATCATTCGATATATCCAGGGTGCCCATAGTGAGATCGGTTGAACTCAAGAAGGACATACAATTGGTGAATAATTCACAGTCAGAACCGATTGGAAATGATAAATACTCAGATATATACCAGAGTTCTGAGACTCTGAACGAACTGAATCAACTCAAAAACAAGAGGAGCACTTTCTACGTTGGTTCCAATCAGCCCTTCGTCAAACCTGTTACGAGGATAAATAGCTTTGGACCTGCTCGACAGGCTCCGACAGTTATTGGCTTTCGACAGCCATCAGAAGTCAATCCGCCTCCTGTGGAACCCAAACCTAACAAGACCGCCAGCTTTCGTTCGTCTCAAACGTATATTCAACCGAAAGAAGAAAATTCTTCTTCGAATGCTAACGTAAACAAGAGACACACAATATTTGGGGATGTTGTTTTGAGAAAAACGACTAATTTTCCCCATAACACTGCTCCTGTCGCCACTCACAGACATTCAGAAAGCGATTTTGGAAACAGGCAAGTTTACAATGGGAAGGCCGAAATAAGAATTTCAACAGTTCCGCCCCCACCACCGCCTCAGCTCCCGAAAATTACTAGTCTTACTAAGAAGTCAACCCCCACGAGCCTGGAAAGTAGCGGGGACTCCCGGGCCGAGTTGCTGGACGCGATAAGAACGTTTGGGGGTAAGAAAAACCTTAGACATGTAAGGGCCTAAAAATAATATTAAAAAATGCATAAGTAATTAATAAAAAGTACTGAAACGTGTTAGTCTTTATTTTTTATTTTTGTTATTTTTGTTATTGTACCTACACATAATATTACTAGCATTTTTTATGTACATAATTTGTATAATACGTACACAGTAACAATTTTTTTCCCTGTAATGATAACATTAATCGTATACGTTAATTACTAAAGCTCAATTAAAAGTAAGTGATGTACATAAATGTTTACGTAATTGCTAACACGTATGTCTTAAAAAATATATATATATTATGTCCAACATAATATTTACTTTTGCTTAATATTTTTAGATCGTTTTTATTTTTTAAGTTCAAAAGTAATAATTGTTATTCTTCATACTAGTCCAAATACTCCTTTTTTTTCATCATCTCCAAATATTTCACTGGACAAGTGATGAATATAATTTTTTCTTTTCGTTGTACGCTAAAGTATATTTTGTTATTGATTTTTAACTGAAAGTAAAAATGAGTAATGTTTTCGTTAAAAGGTAAATTACAATATTTTTTTTTTAATTACGGAAAATTATATTCTTCGTTTGTAGTGAAAATGGTGAAGCAGTTGTTAAGGTATATTTTATTATATATTCATGTAAAAACAAAAAGTATTCTAAGGGACCAAAGGTATCACTTAAA